TTTCATTAATTGAAAAGTGAATTTACATTTGAATTAGAAGTGAATTCTTCATTAATAAATAATCTACTTTTTCTTACGTTCATAAAGATTGAGTTGTTTTTTTTTGTAACGAATAGAGCATTTTTATCTTAGTCTATGATATTCAAAAGGCATATAATAATTCTCCTTCCAATCGGAAAATAAAATTTTACATTCTATTTAAACCAATTGGTTTCAATAGGATTTCATCAGGAAGTTTTTATTGGAATGAATTGGAAATTTCTCATGCAAACATCCGATCTAATGATTTTTTCCAATTGGAATGTTTTACCAGGGATGCCATAAATAAATTCGTCGACTGTCAATGTAAATATAAATAGATAATTTTATGTATTACAACTAGCTTACTCTGCGTGATTTCGTCAGCGTAGATGCGTTTCGACTGATATAAACAGTAATTAACTGGAACAATTGATGCCCATAAATTTAAAACCATGTGATTTTTCTTGGCTAATTGAAGAAAATCTCTTATTTATTATAAAAATCAATGTGGTCCAGACATATTAGATGGTAAATCGAGAAATCTTGAAATGGATGAAATTTTAATAGAATATTTGTAGGGGATGTAGAATTAGTTTCCCCTAAAAAAAGTGAGCTCCGACACCGGGCAAGGGTTGAAATCACCCTTTAAACGCTTTTTTATGCATATTTTCATGTTTGTTCTCATTTTTTACGAGAACTATAACAGATATGAAAAAATGTTTTGAACAAAAGTTGTAGCGGCTACAATTTTACATAACAAAGTTTGCATCTTCGCAATCTTACCCATAACAGGTAAAAAGTTATTGACCTCTCAAGGTTGGGAAAATCCAAAACAATAAAAATATTGAACACCCTTTGGGCACGATACTGTTGTGAGAGAAACAAAGCGATATCTCAGCGCTTGTCACACTTATTGCGAGTATTTCATCATAATAAACGTGCCTAAACGAAACACAACGTAAACAAAATCCATAGGATAGACTAGGAGGGTTATGTTTATGTATTCAAAATATAGGAAAGGATAGCTGACGTCACAAGGTCAGCATTTGTAAGACTTTAAAGAAAACTAAGTGATCACCAGCATTGTATAGAGTAATCACCCCAAGTGACATAAAAAAAAAATCGCAAAATTAAATAGCATCAATCGATAAAGTTTTTAATGCTGAGTCGATTAATGATATTCATTTTTAAAATTTTTTTTTATTGATACAAGGGGTAACTGGAGGTAAAATAAAAATAATAATAGAAAACTATTTGCAAGTTAGTTTTAATCGATTCTGTTTTTTAAGTAAAGTTGATTGAAGTTAACTTGAGCTCACTTTGCCAATAGTTTTTTATTATTTTTTTCTATTTCACCCCCAGCTACCCCTTGTATCGATAAAAAAAAATTAAAAAAATTAATATCATTAATCGACTCAGCATTAAAAACTTTATCTAGTATTATCTGCTAAGCTTCAAGTCCAATTTGGTGGCTTTTATTATTCATATTATGTATTAATGATATTGTAAGTGAGCTAAAATTAATGGCTGTAATTGTAGGCTTTTTGCGGATGATCTCATTATTTTTAAAAGGCATGGATATATTACAAAAATCGAATATAGTCTGAATAAATGTTTAAGTAAATTAGAAGTTTGGATGAAATCGAACTCGCTTATTATTAATTTGAAAAAACTGTATTTATGTTAATTCGTGACTGTAGAAAATTAGTTCTTAATGGGAAGTTAAAAATGAAAAGATTAGCTATTTAAAATACTTTTGAGTCAAATAACAACAATTTCATTTGAAAATTGAGCCGATATTGACTAGACATTATTGATTACAACCAAATATGACTTTCAACAATTACACATTGTTTACAACTATTTAAATTTGTTGTAAACAATTACTAATGAGAAGTTCGTCGTGTTAGCTCAGACAAAGTGTGCTCAATCCTATCTTTATTATAATATATTGTTACAATACGAGAACGAAGCATGACCCTCCGAGACAAGTGGCGACATCTGTATCGTCAAAAGGAACTACAAAGTTACTCATCACTCCATCTGTGGGAGCCAACACTCCTAGCCCTGTTACAGGACAAGCAGAGGACCACCGAGACCAGCCGTCGGTATAGAAGACTCCTGGACGACCATCCAAGGTTACAAATGGACATGACTACCAGCTTCAGTCAGAAAGGCGCTGCAAGAGCGGAGTGGGCGGAGCTCCTACATGGAGGGGGGTCCCGCCAAAACGAGCCTCGAGCACGCCGACGAGAAATCACAGTAGTAGTTGGGCTTCCGCCGTTGCTGCGAACACACGAAGGCGAAACGCTGCTCTTCGAGCGTAACTAATTAACATCACGACAAGTAAAGTCAGTCCGGGAGTCGGAAAACAAGGTCGGATTCGTGGCATCCACGACGAATCGCTGTCAAGGTACTAGGGAAGCCGCTGACGAGACTCTGCAACCTTCAGGGAGGCGCCGGGTAGCTAAAGAGTTCATCAGGACTTCCGACAACGAGTAATACCAGACCTGTAGTCCCGACCAGGGTGAAGTAACAGCATCTCCAAGAGAAGAGGACACTCACTGGTGAGCTCACACCTAATACAATTTCATTGTTCAAGGGCATTAGGGCGAGTCCGTGAGAAGACGCGGAAACACACATTGTAACGCCTGTCCGATTCTTAATTATACAAATTAGAATTGTAAAACAATTAAATTGGAGAAATAACAATTGTTAACTTTGCCGTCCCGTACCCGGGTCATTACCTCGCTTGTCTTAAACATAACTTACTGTAAATTAGCTTATAAGGTACAATACAGCTCGCTTCAGGACGCGGGGGGATAACCCTATGAATTATTGTTTGGAAATCATTCTTTTATAATAAAAGTTATTCTATTTCAATATTCGCTTGGAGAAATTATCCCGGTCAATCTCTTGCGTACCCTTATTTGCATGCTTTACAGGAGTGGAGACATTCCAGGGGAGGTGACACTGCTATTACAAGGGCATTTGTCCCGAATATTCTTTTTGCATCAAGTTCTCGTCGTTGTTCAGCACGTCGGTGCCCAAGAAGATTTCACCAAGGTCGTTAATCAAATTCTTTCGTATCATTTACTTTGTCGTAGCAGATCCGCGACGATCGACAGAAACATAATTCCTGATAAGGTAAGTGAGAATACGCAATATCTTCTTGAAGCCTCTACAGACAGTAAATTTATTCAAGGTCATACTAGAATAAGCCAACCAATACACTACTACAAGAACCTGGTACACCAGTTTTTCATTTTCAACCTGTTTTCCCCGAGATAATTACATTGGATGCCCCGTTTCCGTTCCAAAAGTCTGAACACTGAGCCTATTCGAAGCATTCCTACAGTTACCGAATTTTCCCTTGGATTCTCTAACGGAAACATTCCCGCGCTTTTCCCAGAGCCCAAACATCAAACATAACCTCCCCCTATCCAAAAGTCCAACGCCAATTTATCTCAATATATTTATTCGGTTTGTGTGTTATACAAACACACGAAATGACCAACATGATGGCCTAAGTAGTAATGTGCCAGCCTGGCGCGGTAGCGGGTTCGATTCCCGGCCGAGACAAGACCCATTTTTAATATGGTCTTTTCTCTTAGAGGGCAGTCAAAGGCGTAAGTCATCGTGCTGATGACTGAATAGTACAAAAAGTGCAATTGCCGCTACGATACCCTTGGGGAACCAGGCGACACCCCATCGTAATACAGCCCTACCGTGCTAGAGGCTCTGCACAGTTGAACCCCAAAATTCCTCACACACTCTCTCTCGTTATCTTAAGCTGATGCTGAGGAAACTAGGACCTTTGAGGTAACCAGCGAAATCTCCGTAGGTAGGACGATTTCTTGTGGAACTGGAACGACCTTGTAGGTTGACATCAGGCCTATAGATCTTGCCTAACTAAGTTTGAGGAAACCGGGGGACAATGGAGCTTAGCCGAATCTCCGAAGGCGAAAGATAACGTTCTTTCGTACTACCATATGGAAATCGTCAGGGACTGTTCCGGGGCCTAGAAGGGAACCAAGGCAACTTGGAAACCTGGGGAACCTGTAGGCCTAAGACATAAGACGACCGCCTTTACTGTGCAAATAGACCCGGTACAATGGCTTCATGACTCAGTGCAGAGGAAGGCGGGACATTTCAAGACATCTTCTTCCATTAAAAAAAACACACCAAATGTAAAAGTATGAGAATTCATCGTAATCATAACAATATAATAACTGAATATTGTTTTTCTTTTCATTTTATGATCTGTGTGCTTGTATCATCTGTATTTTAACTAATGGAAAAAAAAAATAACTAATATGAATGTTTCGGTGTTACTTTAGATTTTATTTAGATTTTTTTGATATTCTATTTATTTTAACTCTAACACAGGTGAATAGTTAGACAACATGCTTCATGCTGACTGTATGTGTTACACAATTTTTTATGTGTAGTTTTAAGACATTTGTAATGTAATAAAATATTTTGAGTTGGAATTTAATTCATATTTAATGAATTACATAAATGAAACACTTATAATGTGTTATGATTACATCTTTTTTGGGTTAAAATGATGCACAACACATTCTTACTGTATTTATTAAAAACACAAAATTTTGTTGACATTCTTATATGCATCGAAATAATACACATAGAGTTTCAATGAGGATTATTTTAATTTATAATGATTTTCAGTTGAGTTTTTAATCTATTGTAGAGATCTCGTTTTGAATATTTTATCACAAAGTTAATTGTTATGAACATTTTATATAAATAAACAGTAGCCTATGTTACTTTATTATAATGGCAGACACTTTTATTGTATTTATCTAGATATAGTTAGGGCAGAAAGAAAAGAGTGTTCTGTCATAAAAATTAGCAGTCGGGAATTAAGCTTTTAGTGCCGGTGTTCCAAAACGTCTGTTATAGTCAATACTTATATTTTTTGTTATATTTAGCTTGATGGATTAAGTAAGAAAAACATGTTTTCTTCATATCCAAAAAATAACGAAGAGGCTAATTATTATGCATCATTAAGTGTAGAAACTTATATTAATTGGATGATTATATCAACGAGAGCTCAACAAATATGTAGAAGTTTCGTCTACTCAACTTGTGGAACAGCCGATTTAAGAAATGTTTCATTTTTATGGCTGTTAGTGATGTATCATAATGCTGGCGGATTTCACCAACGGTTGCGATTGTTCTTAACTAATAATACAAAATTTTTTATCAGTGTAAGTACTCTAGAGCTAACTAATCATTATATTATGATCATATTGTTCTACCTAAAAATGAAACTATCATTATTTAGTAAATCAATCAAGATTACTTATATTTTTAACCTAATCAAGTTAAAATAAATATCAGTGCAATATTATAAAGATAATTATTTCAATTATATTCATCATAATTTTCTTCAGTTTTGCCTAAATTACAAAATTGGACTAGTTTACCATTTTTTTAGTGTTTTGATACTTCAAAAAAAAAATGGGTCGACCGATTGTGTTGAAAACCTAATCTGTTCTAAGTTGCGTAATTATGCGTCGAATTCAATTAATCCCACGTTGATATTTTTACTCTAAAGATATTGAAGACAGTATTAGATAGATATAGCATACTCGGTACTTAGAGCAGATATTAAAATTACATACATCAAATCGTTATATATTAACTCTAGTAAACTCGAACGAATGTATTTATTTCTATATCTCATGTATTAAGGCATTCGAAGTATTCAGACGTATCAATAACAGTATATAGATCGATATATTTTCGAAACATTGTGATTCTAAGTTAAAGTGTAACTGAGTGGAAACTAATGAAACAACGTGATTTCTTCTTCGACTTGGAACGAATTGATTTATTGAATCATACACATACTAAAACTACTACATTCGACTTGCATACTTAACACTAGGTAGCGCTAGGTGTATTACGATCTTAGTATTTTTATATAAACCAACACCCCCACTATATAAAAATAACATAAGGAACTTATTTTTCAACTAAGCCAACAGCATTTACAAAAGCTTTATGCTTAATTGAACCCAAACTTTTTGTAAGCAAGTCAGCTGGCATATCAGCTGTACATAGGTAATAAACATTCACCAAGTTTTGAGCAATTATCTCTTCACAAAAATGAAATCTTATATCTATATGCTTAGATTTATTATGAAAAACAGGATTCAACAACAATTTTTGTGCACTTTGGTTGTCATTGTACAGAATAATAGTATATAAACTGTCAGTAATTTCACATTACAAGTTTTGTAAGTAAATAGCTTCTTTACAACATTCTGAGATCCCTATATACTCTGCCTCTATACCAGAGAGTGCAACAACTTTTTGTTTCCTGCTTTCCCATGATATTGCAGCACCTGATAATTCAAACACATAATCTGTATAAGACCTCCTACTAATAACATCACTGCCCCAATCAGCATCAACATAACCAGTTATTTCAGAGTTAAGTTTAGAGTCATATTTTAGAACATAATGTTTTGTCTTTTTTAAATATCTTATAATTCTTCTAGCATGTTGCCAATATTCTTTAGTAAAACAATTATTAAATTGGCTCATATAACTAACTGAATATGATATATCAGGGCGAGTTAAAACGGACAAATACATCAAACTACCTATCAGACATTGATACGGTATGCTAGTATCACATTTGTTACCTATACTAAGATTAAGTTTACAATCCATTGGTGTATTTGATGTGTGGCAATCCAACATATTAAATTTACCTAACAACTGGTCTATATAACCTTCTTGGTCCAATGTTACAGAATTTTTATTGCACACAACTCGCATACCCAAACATTGTCTTATTGAACCTAGATCTTTAGTCTTGAAATTGTCACCTAAAGACTTTTTCAAGTTTATTACTTCATTACAATCGTTGGATAATATGTAAAAATCATCAACACATAATGCAATTACAGTTACACATTTTTTATTTCTCTTAATAAACAATCAAGGTTCATATTTAGATTTTACATAACCAATGTTACACAGTCATCAACCCTTTTATACCACATTCTTGAAGATTGTTTTAACCCATAAATGGCCTTTTTTAACTTCAATCATTTAAATCACCAAAACAATCTGGTTTTTCCATAAAAATATCTTCTTCAAGATGTCCATTTAAAAAGTCTGTTTTTACATCTAAGTGTGTTGTTTTAAAATCTAACTTTACAGTCAAGGCAAACAATAATCTTAAGGTAGAAAATCTAACCATTGGGGAGAAAGTTTCATTGTAGTCCACACCATGTCTCTGAGTGAAACCTTTTGCCACTAAACGCGCACGATATAAAACTTTACCATCCACATCACACTTTTTCTTTAAAACTCATTTACACTGAACCACACAACCACTACTAGGAGCATCAACTAACTCCCAAGCTTCATTCTCATCAAAACATTAAAGTTCTTCTTTTAATGCCTTTTGCCAATACTCTTTTTCATGTCCAGTCAACGCCTCCTGCAATGTTAAATCTCCAGCTTCTTGAAGACAGACATTTTGTTGGTTACTGAAACCATATCTATTAGGTTGTCTTCTGTTTCTAACTTCTCTTGTAGTTGTCACTTTGTCCTCTAAACTTTCTTCTACATCTTCATACTCACTGGGTACATATTCAGAATCAGAGTCATCTGTAGACTTTTCATGGGATGTAAGAGTATCAGAAAAATTTTCCTCCATATCCCTCACTGAAGATGGCTGGTCTGTATCTTTAGTTGTTTCATTTACATTTTCTTTTTCTATTACTGCTATGGTAGTGTTTTCTTTCTCGACAACTATCACATCTCGACTAGTTGTTATCACATGTACGTTGGATCATACACTCTATATCCCTTGCTTCCATCAGCATAGCCTACTAGAATACCTTTTTGGGCTTTTTATCCCACTTTCGTCTCTTTTCTTTAGCTATGTGAAACATTACCATACTGCCAAAAACTCTCAGATGACTTATATCTGGCTTGACACTATGCCATAGTTCATAAGGTGTTTTTCCTTGCAATACGGGCGAACCTGTGCGATTGTGCAAATATACCGCTGTGTTTGTAGCTTCAGCCCAGAAAGTCTTGCTTAACTGTGCATCAAAAAGCATGCACCTTGCTTTCTCGACTAAAGTCCTGTTCATACGCTCACATAGTCCATTCTGTTCTGGCGTGTATGGACATGTTGTTTGATGAACTATACCCATTTTCTTGAAGTAATCGTTAAACTCAGCATTGCAGAATTCTCTTCCATTGTCACTTCTAATGATTTTTATCTTTTTATTTGTCTGATTTTCAACTAACACTTTGTATTCTTTAAAGCTTTTCAAGGCATCATTCTTGTTTTTTAGGAAATAAATAGCTGTCATTCTGCTAAAGTCATCAACAAATAAAATGAAGTATTTAGAACCTCCAATAGAATCGCACTCCATAGGACCACAGATATTCGTGTGAATAATATTCAACACCTCTGTACCTCTCTTACCAATAAGAGTAAAAGGCAATCTAGCTTGTTTACCTTCACAGCACACAGTACAGGTCGACTTTGTAATGTCAACTTTCTCTTTTAAGGTTAATCCATTAACTGCATTCTGCATTTTATTCAGACGTTCACCGTTTATATGTCCAAGCCTGCGATGCCAGAGCTCTCCAGATATGATTGCTGCTGCAGATATATTTTCTTGAAGTTGTAGCTTGTAAACTCCATTTGTTAATTATGCATAAGCGACCAGTGTACCTTTCTGATTATATATTTCACATGCGTTTGTAGTAAATACAACATTATTTCCTTTGTGAATTAATTGGCTAACTGCTAGTAAGTTAGTTGTCAATTCCGGTACACAAAACACATCTTCTATGTCCACATTAAAACTGCAATCATTTACTATCATAGATATCTTTATATCGCCGGAACACGCAATCGGCACTTTTGTTTTGTCGGCTACTATAATAGTCTGAGCTTCTTTTTCGTAAGAAATATTCGTGAGCCATTGTTTATTTGGCGTCAAGTGTACGCTGGCTCCAGAATCTACATACCAATCTTGGTTATTTAAGTTTCCGCTTAGAAAGACCGCATTGAATGCATTTGTTTGTTTACGTTCATTTCCTTTGTTATTCGACACTTCAGCCGTACATTGTGACTTATAATGATCTATTTGTTTGCATCGATCACATTTAATTTCTTTCTTCGCCTTTGTTGACGTTCCATGTTGGCCGCCATGATTGTTAGTTTTGCTAACCATAGACTTTCTGGCCGTCGATGAGTGTTGCCAACCTCTATAACCACTGGCCAAAGCGCCATTCGATTCATCGTTCATTCCGTTTTCCGATTCCATGTCAAGTAACTTACTTTTAATGGCGTCTATTGTTATCTGAATACCCGAATGTTCGATGGCCATTATCATGGGGGCATATTTTTCAGGTAGCCCTGCCAATAACAATGAACCAATCCACTCGTCGTTTAACTGGAATCTTGTATTACACAACTTTTGCCCTGTTTCTATAATTTGTGTCACATGAGCAATCATAGAACTACAATTTTCGAGTCTTATAGAAATTAAATGTTGTAGTAAGCTTATTCTTCTTGCAAATCCGGAATCGTCAAATAAGGCTCTTAGCTTCTCCCATAATTCCTTGGTAGTGGAAACATTCCTAATGCGCACATATAATGAAGAGTCGATCGTGAGAATCAGCTTCGCTTTTGTTTTTGCATCATCCTCGGCAAACAATCTCACATCTTCCTCTGGTTTGATGCATTTCATCATCCCTTCTAGGATTAAGAAGTTTTCCGCTGCAAAAACCTATTCGCTGTAGTTTTCTCTGCCTCTTAACTTTGGCACGTTGACTATGTAATTTGCCGCCATTTCTTAGCTTTCCGCAAACTAAAAAAAACGAGTGCCTAAGCTAGCTAATCTAAATATCCTGCTGCGATTTATTATCACACTAATAACTTGATAACTTATTAACTTTCGCGATATTTAGCTAAAAACCCTAAAGACCATAAATCTGGACCCAGAACCTAATGAAACAACGTGATTTCTTATTCGACTTGGAACGAATTGATTTATTGAATCATACTGTTCTGACTTCGAGTCGGCCGGACGAGCAAACTAAAAAAACTAGTGGACTGTAAGAATTAAGAGCAGAATGAGAACAAAGGTCGTATGTTCGTGAGAGTTGTCTGAGTCTGTTTGACCGTACTTTTTTCTACGAAGGGTGAGCTGACTGCAAA